TTGTGGAATCTCAGAATATACCAACTCTGTGTGAGAGCAAATCAGCTAGTCCCACCTGCCATTCTTTCTTTCTGATCATGCATATTTTTCCTTTATCCTGTTCCCTTGTGAAAGCCACAATGGAATCTGCCTCCTTCACACATACAGTGCATTTCAGATTCTATTCACTGGCTGTATTTTGAAATTCTCCTGATACTTTTTTATGCCATTAACTTTGTGTCTGTATTTTCTGATTCTCTTCCTCTATTGTTGCTAATAGTTCTTTCCTATCTGCTCTGTTCAGCCCACTTATGATTTTGAAAGCCTCTATCACACTTCCTCTCCGCCTTCTGTTTTTAAGGATAATAGTCCAAGTTTCTCGAATTGATCTAAGTGACTGAGGATCTTTAAGCTGAGAATCAAGTAAATCCTTCTGCATCTGCTTTAATGCCTTCTCATTCTTCCTAGTGTGTAATGCCTAGAATTAGACACAATACTCCACTTGAGATTCAGTCTGATTTTTGTGGGTTGATCATAACTATCTTCATTTTGTACATACTGCTTCAAATTATAAAGCCGAGATTTCTGATTAATGGCGCTGTCTGCATGCTTTCATATTGAGTGATTTGTGCACTTGTATCCCCAAGGCCCTCTGTGCTTACAATTCATTTAGAATTGTATTCTTCAATTTGTCTCTCCTCCTCCTTCATGCCAAATATATCACTTCACACTTCTCTGCATTAAATTTCACCTGCAACATGCCTGTGCATTCCACCAGGCTGTCTGCCAGTGCTCTCTTAAAATCTAACACCTCAGTATTGCTTAGAAGAGAGTTGTGTTTTTTAGCATTGTGTTGCATTCATCAGAACAGAGTTGTAAGAATACCAAATTTCAGAAGACAGCAGTTTATACTGCATGAGAAATAGCATGAGCATTCTCCTCAACAATATCTCAACCAAATCAGCACCATGTTTCTTGTGTAGTATCAGGTTGTTCACTTTTGAAACTCTATTCTTGCCATTCTGTCCTGATGAGTGCAAGATGCAAAGCTTCAATAGTACTTCTTAAAAAAAAAAAGTCGCATTAAAGTTATGAACGAGATGACCATAAGTCCACCACTGTCCTCCTCAGCTTGTGCACTTCCCTAGGTTATGTCACCTGAAAAGTTTGAAATTGTGGCCTGCACACCCAAGTCATTAATGTATATCACAAAAAGTTGTGGTCCTAGTACCACCCCTTTGGGAACCCCAGTGTAGACCTTTCTCCAATCTGAAAAGCAGTAGTTTACTCAATGTCATGGGCAGCTTCACTGATTTCCTGTTGTATTACACTTCGAATCAAAAGTAACACGAACAAGTTATGCTTATGTGCCATTGTTTGATTTTCTGTCAGCTGTTCATTTTTAAGATAGCAAATGTCTGTACGTCTAATGGAAACTCCTCATTCAACTGTCTGTCACCAATTACACTTCTTTGTAGTAAAGTTCCTATAATTAAACTGCAAATAAATGCATAAGATGCTTCCTTATGCCTATTGAATGTGTTGCACATCAGATGTCTTTAATTTGGCATTAGGTTCTGCATCACAGATGTTGGGTTTTAGCACTAAATGTCTTTCCTATAGTGAGCTTCAAATTTACTTTCTTTGAATGCAGATATAGTTCCAAAAAATCTCTATTACTAAAAATGTATATGACTTTTTTGCATCTTGTAGAGTTGCTTTTTTGATCGTGGAAAAAATCACTGACTGTGGCAAAAGCAAAAAAAGCATCTCAAGGTTTCTGTCCACTCCTTTGGAAGGAAGTATGGCTGCGTGGTCTTGAATTGCATTTAAAGCATGTTGCTCAGTATGCACAGAAACACTAATGCAGCAAGGAAATGCTCTACCACAAGTAGTGAAGAGATCAGACTGTAGCAACATAAGGACTGTGTTGAGTCAATTCTAGTGCTTTCCTGTGATAAATTGAAAAGAAAATAGCCTCAAAGTATCAGTTATATTCATTCTGACAGCTACGTCCACTGAAAGTGTGGCTAAATTACTATCATTATTGTCAACCTTACTGATAACAGTACAGAGGAGTATCCTATTGCTGCAGCTATGGAAACCTACATGTAGTTGTATGTTATTCGTCTCTCAATCTTGTGTCATTAACTTGGAGGCTGTTTCAACAGATTTGGGTTCGATATCACCTATCCTTACAATTACTGAGTGCTTGTTTTTGTGGTCTCCACATTGTACCCGTCGTATATTTTAGCTCATCTGAAGCTCTGTATATATGCAGCCAACTCCTGTCAAGTTCCTGTCACCAACGCACCTGTGTTCAACTGGGTAATTAAGTGGTGCTTAAATTTAAATTTTACGTCAATGTTTTGTAACCCTTTGTAACCTTGCTTCAGAACTAATAAGATATTTACATTGCTCTAATTTTGACCTCTTGATCATTCCTGGTTTCAATTACTCCACTTATGGCAGCCATGATATCATCTACTTAAACTCTGAAACACGGTCCCGAAACTCTCAGCTTGTCTACCTGTTTACCTTTTTAGGACTCTCCATGTTGATCACTTCTAATCTTTTCTTACATGGCTTGGTGTCATATGGCAATGGTCCTGTGAAACATTCTGGGACATTTTACCACCTCCGTGGGACTGGCAGGTTGCCCAAAGTCGTCACCATTTGTAAAGTCAGTGCAGTTTGGTTCTAATCAGAAAACAGAATACTGTTTATTCCAGAAATCTTGGATTTAAAACCTGCTGAAATTCTTAGCTCAAATAGCATCTGTGGATGTTTCAGGTCAATGATTTTCCATCAGAAATGGGAAAAATTAAAGATGGAATATTACGAGATGTTTTGCCCAAAACCTATTACATTGCTGCCTTTTCCCATTTCTGATGAAAGGTTATCAACTTACCCAATTTTAGGTTGGCTGTGGTCTTCAGCACAGAACCTAAAATATAATTCTTGTATTGAAAATTGTTTTGAGAGGTGTGGATAGCTAGTAGGGAGGAACATTTTAAGAAATATGAATTCTTCTATTAGAAACTAAATTCTGCAAGTGGGGACATGTCAAGTGCACTTAAAGTTCAGCAACTTAGTACATAAGGAACCAAATGACTCATTCATCTCAAAGTTAAAGTTGATATTTGTGGTAAATATTTCCACAAGTCGCGCAAGAGGAAACTGCAGTTTGCACCTAATGGATGCTTTCCAGCCCATTTTAAAAGGGAATTTTATTCAGCTTTTGCCATGACTTTTACTGGATGCAGATATTAGATTGGAACTTCTGGGATGTTAAGCAATGAATGTCTGAATATCTTTTTTCATGCCTCACTTATGTTGTAATGGCTACCTATAAATTGATTTGGTTCTAATTTGATTGCACCACAATTTCAACTCCATGCCCCTCCCTGGGAAATGACCAAGACTAAACCAACTTTTAACCCAAAATCAGCTTCCATCTACACACTAGTGCCATTTCTAAGACTTCCTCCTGTTACATCACCTGACTTTGCCCCTATCTCTGCTGAATCCCTCATTTCAAGCCATTTTAGTCTCTAGATTGACATTGCTGGCTGGCTTTCAAGATTCTTTCTCTGATAAGTCTGAGGTCACCCAAAGGTCTGACCATGTTCTGACCCATTCCTTTGCTCACTGACCTACATTGGTTCTTGTTCAAGCAGTGTCTCAATTTTAAAGTCAATATCCTTGTTTTCAAATTCCCATGTGACCTCTGTCTCTTCCCATCTCCGTCACCGCCTCCAGCTCCACATCCCTCTGAAATAGATGTTCTAATCTAATTCTGACCTTTCGAGCATCCCCAATTTGAATTGCTGCACTATTGGCTTGAATCCCTGTCTGTGACTCACATCTCTGTTTCGTCCTTTAAGATATATCATGAAACCTAGCTCTTTACTGGAGCTAAAGATTATCTAATCTAATATCTCCTCGTGGCTTGGTCATATTTTGTTTTCTGTCACTCTAATGTAGCACCTTGGGGTATTTTACTACATTAAAGATTCTGTTTCCTCTTCTGGGCAAAACTAGAGCTAAGGGAGACAATTTAAAATAAGGATTCTCCCATTTAAGGCACAGATGAGAACCCTTTTTATATCAAATGTCTGGATGTTTCTTCCCCAGAGAGTAGTGAATTTGAATATTGTAAAGGCAGAAATAGAGATCCTTCAGTAAAGAGAAGTCAGAGGATTTCAGGAGGCAGGCAAGTGGAGTTAAAGCTGCAATTCAATCAGCCTTCAGGTTTTAGGGGTCAAATGTACTTAATTCACATGTTTGTGTTGAACTAACAGTCCCTGAAGGTATGAAAATTGCAGTGAACTAAAAGTAAATGCAGGAGATAACAAGGTGTAGAGCTGGATGAACACAGCGGGCCGAGCAGGAAGGCTGACGTTTCGGGCCTAGACCCTTTTTCAGAAAAGGGCCTAGGCCCGAAACGTCAGCCTTCCTGCTCCTCTGATGCTGCTTGGCCTGCTGTGTTCATCCAGCTGTACACATTGTTATCTCAGATTCTCCAGCATCTGCAGTTCCTACTATCTCTAAAAGTAAATGCAAGCCAGTTTCAGTGCATAATTCATTTTACTTTCATTCTTTGCTTTTGGCTTGAATATGCCAGAGGCATTTCAGTTGCCATGTTTCTAAAAGTGGGCCCTCAAGAAAAGTGCATGGCTTGTTTTTTTTCTTTTTGGTAATCAGGGAAGTTAGTTCAAAAAAATTAGAAGCATACATGAAACATGTTGAGTTGATTCCTTGCATCACTGGTGATGTATTACTTTGCATAGTCACCCAAATGCACTGAACGAAATCTGCGCCTTGAGTAGGCAGTATTGCTTTAAATCTTGCCAATGGAAAGAGTTAATACACTGCTGCTCTTTGAGCTTACAGTGTCAATTTAAGGCATGTTTAAAAATATTTCCATGTTGTTGCAGATTACAGAAATGCTCTGTCTCTTGAGCAGTTAATTTGGTTGATTAGGTTCTGAAATAATGAGTTATCTTCTTTCACTGTAGATCTTGGTACAATATGGTGAGAAGTGCAAAGCTTCTGAAGAACTCCTACCTTTATTGGAGGTCTATCGGATTTCTATCCAGAGTTACACAAATGCAAGGCCTTACCTGACTGCAGAATGTGCCCATATTCATTTTGTGCTGAATCGATTAGCAGTGTAAGTGTCTCTAAACTTTTATGGCAATCTTTCTAAGAAAATTGAACTGCAAGTATCTTAAGTATAAGCTTGGGATTTTTTTTGACTTCTTGGACTGTGTGGCAGATGGAGTTTAATTTTGGTAAATGTGAGGTGTTGCATTTTGGTACGGCAGACCAGAGCAGGATTTATACACTTAATGCTAGGGCCGTGGGGAATGTTGCTTGAAAATGGAGTCGCAGTTGGACAGGTTGGTGAAGGAGGTGTTTTAGCATGCATGCCATCTTTGATCCTTGGATTGCATATAGGAGTTGAGGTCAAGTTGTGGCTATACAGGATATTGGTAAGGCCACTGTTAGAATACTGTTCATTTCTGGTCTCCCTGCTATAGGAAGGATGTTGTTAAACTCAAAAGGGTTCAGAAAAAATTTACAGGGATATTGCTGGGATTGGGGTTTGAGCTATAGAGAAACTGAATAGGCTGGTGGGGCTTTTCCCCCTGGACTGACAGAAACTGAGGGGTGACCTTATAGAGACTTATAAAATTGAGGGGCATGGATAGGATGAATAGCCAAGGTCTTTTTCCCAGGGTAGGAGAGCCCAAAACTAGAGGTCATAGGTTTAAGGTGAGAGGGGTAAGATTTAAACTGACTCGAGGGCCAGTGTTTTCACACAGATGGTGGTGCGTGTATGCAATGAGCTGCCAGAGGAAGGTACAATTACAATATTTAAAAGGCATCTGGAAGGGTACATGAATAGGAATGATTTAGAGGGATATGGGCCAAATGCTGGCAAATGGGACTAGATCAGTCTAGAGTATCTGATCAGCATGGCCAGGTGGACTAAAGGGTCTGTTTTCCTGCCATATAACTCTGACTTGAGTAGCTAGTATTGTGGATTGAGAGTTTTGGTGTCTTGCAGCAGAATTTGTCTTGTACTACTTATGTCATTAATAACTACTAAATGAATGTTAGTTTTTTTTATTCTCTCATGGGGCATAGGCATCACTGGCAGGCCAGCATTTATTGCCTATCCCTAATTGCTGTTGAGAAGGGGTGGCGTTGGCCTAGTGGTATTATCACTGGACTGTTAATCCAGAGACCCAGATAATGTTCTAGGGACCTGGGTTCAAATCCTGCCATGATGGAATTTGAATTCAATAAGTAGCTGGCATTAAGAGTCTAATGATGATCATAAATCCATTGCCGATTGTCAGGGGGAGAACCCATCTGGTTCGCTAATGTCCTTTTGGGAAGGAAACTGCCGTCCTTACCTGGTCTGGCCTACGTGTGACTCCAGACCCAAAGAAATGTGGTTGACTCTTAACTGCCCCCTGAGCAATTAGGATGGGCAATAAATGCTGCCTGGCCAGCAATGCCTGCATCCCATGAATGAATAAAGAAAAAAAAGTGATGGTGAGCTGCCGCCTTGAACTGTTGCAGTCCATGTTCTGTAGGTAGACCCTCAATGCCTTTCAGGAGGAAATCCACGGTCACGTTTGGGGAACTTACCCACCCATGCTAATCATGGTGCAATGTCTAAAGCCATCTAAATGTCACTTGACCAAAAGTATTATGGTTTGTAACATTTTGGCTGTTTATTTGGTACTTAGGCATCTTTCAATCAATTTTTGACCAGCCTTGATGAAATACTGTGTGGTATCTTCCAGCTGTATAGAATAAGTTACATTTGTAAGATTCCTAGAATTTATTGGCAACAGAATAAATGTGGGCTTTTCTGAAGACCATTTTTGTTTTCTGACAACAGATCTTCAGTAGAATAATTCTGAACCTTCCAAAAGGATCTAGCTGACTCATCTATTAACCCTGTTTAAATTTTAGGAGTTGTTTCGAACTTCTGTTGTCTCTGTCTGAAAATGAGATTCCACAAGAGGTATGGCAACAACTACAACAGACATTGCAGGTGAGTGATCGGTTGGAAGTAGCATAATATTTGTTGGAATATCCAAGTTTTGTTTGCTCTAATTCTAAATTACACTGGTCAGCGATGACCTAAAACTTGATCTCATTCATTGGAGTGATCAAATATTCTTTAATATACAGATGTTTCTCTGATCCCAGGTAGTGGTAATATTGGCAAGACCCATCTCAGTGAAACCTGGCTTGATAAATCATAAGATGTATCTTTATAGTTTGATCGCCATGGTCATCAATCCCTGAACATTAAGCTGCCCATAAATCTTGTATAAAAAACCCAACAAGTTATCACCACAAAAGGTTTATTACAAAGTGGAAATATCTAAACATACACAGCAGAAAGATTCAACACTTCTTACAACACAATCAATTGCTGGTACTCATTCTCAGTAAAATATCACTCCTATTTATAACTCTTTAATTTCTTAGCTGACAAGTTGCAAAGGTTTCCTTTTGGCCATTATGCATATTCACCAGGTGTGATTCTCTCCGTTATTGTCTCTCCCAGAGACACAAAACAACTGACTGATTTCCTGCCACTGAATCAGAAGAGAAATTTAGTGTTTGCAGCACTTGTGCTGGGACTATCTTCTAAAAAAAACTTGACTACTTTCCTGCCTGGAGACTTCACAAACTGTCTGCCGTTCTTCTGATACAAAACTGTTCTTTTGAACCGAAACCTGATTCTGACCTATTTCCTGCGTTTGATTCCCCAGTAATAATCTGAACTAAGGTAGCAGTGGGAGCATTGCAGTTGGATTTGTTGTGAGGATCCCACTCCTGATTTGAAATCAAACTGTTAAAAAGTGCAAATATGAGGAGAGGAACCGTCCTGAGTGTGATAATTCCTGATGTCAAATACTCTATTAGCACTGTGCTATGAAATGTCAGAGATAATGGGTGACATAGCAGATACCTTTGGAACTACTTATACTTTAGAGCAAGAGGGCAATGTTTGGCAGATGAAGGTGGAATTTTTCCCATAAATATTTTGCAGTGCAATGTCGCAGTGATGGTTCCATTGATTATTAAAATTATGTTTAGTTTGCTTTTGGGAGGAGTGATCATTCTCAAACTTTTATTTCGTTAAGTGCTTCTAAAAAAAATCATCTGTCCCAGAGATCTTTCCGGTGTCATCCCTAGAAAAAAATTCTTCCTCTTGGAAGTGAAAGTTATCATATATAGTTCTCATGGAATGGGGGAAAAAAAACACAATTGAAATGCTATTTGTCTAAATGGATTAACAAGTCACTCTGCTGCATGTTACCATCCATTTTATTATGAACCTTCTTTGGCAGTTCTGTGTTTACTATGAAGGGCCTAATCTGAAGTGGTCCACGTGGAATAGTTTGTGATTTACATCTTAATGGATTTGTTTTCTGAAGCTAGTTAGATTATTAGAACAATATATTCCGAATCGCAACACTTCCATACTTCAGAACTGAGCATTGGCTTAAAAGTTCAATGTAGTCATGCAGAAGGCAGTGATGTTGCTGTAATATTGCTGTTGGTTTCGTGCTTTATGAAATTGTTGAAATGAACATGTAACTGAAATGTGCTGTGAATTATAAAAGCAGAATGAATGTTCATTGTTTTTGTGAATACATTTATCAGTGACCTTGTTTTTGGGGTAAAGCCAAACAGCACAGCTTCATAACATCTTGTGTTTGTAAACTTTTCACTATCATTTTGATAGGATTCTCACATTGCATTGCTGGAATTTGGGCATAATGAACTGCAGGCCCTTCTTGCTATCGCAAGAGAAGGTGGTGCATGGAAAAATCCAGTCCTACAATGCGTTCTTTCCAAACAACCAGCAGAGATTGAAGAAGGTATGCATGATGTAGTTTCATTTTCTTAACTGCCTTTTCAAAAATAATTCATGCTGTGTGTATATTTAAACTTCATTCATCTAAGTCCCTAGGTATAAATAAAAACTATTTTCAATCACCTTGTTCAAGATGTTATGACATAATCTCGAAAAGGTGGACTTGAACTTGGACTTGAACTTGGGCTTCCTAGCTTAAAGGTAGGATGATTACCACAAGAGCCCTTAATACACTTTGATATAATTCTGATATACTGGGCTATATTTAGTAAGTATTTTATATTAAAGTAATAGTTCCTGTAAAGATAATTGAGCTCCAGAGGCCTATGGATTGGCCCATGTTCATTATGTTCTTGCTCCCCATCGGTGTCAGGAGCAATGTAGTTATGGGACAGGGGATTGTGTCTCTGCCTGTGATTAGGTTCAACAACAGCATGCCACAACAAGCCGTCAGTGCTTTCTCCTACCTTGGGTCTACAGTGACAGACTGTTGGCTCTTAATGGACTCAACACATATGGTGGAAGTAGCCACCAACTTTGATCAACTAACAAAACAAGCATGGGAGAGAGGAAAAAAACAAGCTACTCTTAGGACAAGGTGGTTACTTACAACCGCAAAGCTTCACATTGCCGTTTGGCAGAACAGGGTAACTTGCATTTAGGAAGAACAAAGGCTCTATAGTGTTTCAATATCCTTGGCATCATATAGAAAGGAAAATGTCACCACTTAAATAGTCCTTTCCAGATGATCATGCTAGCAGTAATAAAGCAAAGAAGGCTTGGTTTGGCTTTCTTGGGTAGATGATGGAAAATGACTGCTTCTCTAAGGCTATACTACATGGGAGACAGCCCATTCTCTGATTCAAGAATGTTATGAAAAGACAACACCAACAATATTCTCAACAATGAGAAGCTACCTGGCAGTCGCTGAAACTGGTAACATCAACTGTGGGCCGGATTTTGCTATCCCAATTACACGGTTTCTGAAGCTGCAAATCAGGCACCAAAACTACAAGTAAGGGGTCAGCAGAGATCTTCCTGCACCATTAACAAGGGACAGTTTCATGTGTGCCACTTTCAACAGATTTTGTCTTTCCAGAATTGGCTTTAGCCTGCAGAAGTGTAGCGGTTGATCTCATTTGACCTTCCCAAAGTTCTGAGACTACATGCCCATCATCTCTCTCAGCTGGAAAGATGCCAACCTCTAATTGATCATAAATGTGAGGACCTGACTTTACACCTATTGGAAGTTTGCTTAGTAATCTGGTATTCAAAATCTAGACTGAGGGAGCTAGCCTTTGGTAGCTTTGTCTTACCAGAGAGATGAAGCAGTGACCGTTCAGCTTTCACTGTCTCGTCTATTACACTCAATTGTATGGTTAAATGTCTGAAACAGGATTAGGGATTCATTGCCAAAAATAATGTACATCAATTTTAAAGGTACAGTAGAGGTAATCTGAATATAGAACATTCAGAACAAATCTTTTAAAGGAGTAAAAGTTACAAAGATTTGAATGTACTAGAATAGAATAGCTACCACAAAGGAATCCAAAATTGTCTCAATACTACACAGTGAAATGGTGGGTCTGATTAGAGGTCAAAACTAAAATCCATGAATGCAGAAACTGAGGTGCTTTACATTGTTCTTCACCTGAAGAGGATGCTGCCCAAACAGCAGTAAGGGAGGAGGCATTTTAACTTTGGATTCAATGGAAATAGATGAAAAAGAGGTACTAAAAAAATGTTGTAAGGGTTCAAAGTAGAACATAATCCCCATGTGCATGGGACACCTCCTCATACATTGAGAGAAGTAAATATGCTTTAAAAATCAAAAGGATGTTTGAGGATAAATCCAGCAACAACAGGTAATTGAACCTCGGTGTTGTGCTTTGAAGACAGTGCATAAGTGGTACCAGGAATAAATGATAACTCTGAATTTGTACTGACTGCAAAAGTTGGTAGCGTTCTGCATTGACTAAAGGAGTTAAGAGGAGTTGTAATGGAGAATCTCAATTTAGGGATAAATGAACAGCAGTACAGAAGGTTTAGCAGCCAGGGCGGACAGACTAGTGATTGGCTAAAGAACAAGAGGTGACAGGAATTATTTTTATGCAGTGAGTTGTGGCCTGAAGTGTCCTGTTTGAAAGCTAATTAAAATCAGCTTTGATACTAACATTCAAGAATGAATATGATTAAGCCTCAAAGGAAAAGGAATGATAGGAGTGTGATAAGAGTAAGAGAATGGGATTAATTGGAGAGCCGGCCCCTAGAGCTAACCCAGGCACAATGTGCTGAATGGTCTTCCGTGCTGTATCATTCTGATTCTGTAATGCAAAATTGTATTGATAGAAAACAGCTTGTTTAAATTGAAATTAATATACTGTCTTTTACAATATACAGGTAGCTTTGCGTCGTTGCCTTTTTGCCCACTTTTCTAACTTGCATTTAATTTCCTTTCTAAAACTTGGGTGTGCTACAGATAAGAATCTTAATGGAACAAAATGCCTTTTGCTATCTTGAAAACACTGCAGTCATAGGTAGCAGTAGTCATAGATGCCAGGTATGCTCTGGTACCACCAAAGTATAAACCAATGTTTTTAGAAGGAGTCATTGAATTGTAAGTGCTTGGTTGATGTGTCTCTTTCCTGATATTCTAACAAGGCACTTGCATTTTTCTCCTGGAGGACTGCTTTGATAATCTGGTGATAGAACTGCATTAAGATCATTCTTAAATCTGTTCTGTAGAGTGATTTATCTCAATTGAGTGATTCTGTTCTCGCAACGTCTTGTTGATATTCGTACATGTTGGGCTTTTTTCCCTCCCAATGCTAATCAAAGTTAGAATTTAGATAAAAGGGCTGTTAGTTTCAATTGTTGAATAAAAGCTCTGGAAGGGCCGTGTTTTGCCTGTTTAAATGGAACTGCCTTCTGATGCAGCTTTCACATTTGGTGTGAGTATTTCCAGATTACAGGAATAATTGTCTTTTTGGGTGGATGGTGAAGTAATGCTAACACTTAATTGGATTTTGTTTATGCCCTTCATTTCATGTTGCCCCTGTATAATTTATTGGAATGCTTGCATAAATGGCAAATTTGTTTCGACTGAATAGTTCCTATAAGTGAAATTGATAATGGTGTTTACCACATGATGATGCTAGTCTAGGTTGCTGTTATGAAGAACCATTTAAGGACTAGTTTATCTGGTGTCTTGGGGATAGGATGCAATGAGAAAGTGACAATGCAGAATGAAAGTCAAATACAATCTCGGGTCTAGAAATGGCTTTCAGAAATAATTAGCCAGCATGTAATATGGATTTGAAGCACCCAGCAGAATAATTATACTGGAACTCCTACCTGTGGCCAGTACCACAAATTGAAATGAGAGCTTATCTGTCACATGTACAAGTGTTAATGTTCAAACTTTGGTTTTCAAAATAGTCCATTTAATTCAACGTTTTCTCAATTTTGAAGAAACTTTATGATTGAGATTCTTGTAATTTTGCAGTTTAATGTGGAATTATTGCACACAAGCTTGTTGGATTAATATAAATGATATGCTTGAAAAGTCTTTGTACTGATTTCTGGCTGCATTTCAAACTACAGCCCCTCAAATTTTGTTGCTAAATCCAACTATTATCCACATTAGACTGAAAGCTAATTCAACCCAGAAAAAGGTGTCTAATCATTATGTTGTGATACCTATCAGAATTGAGTAGGTTACAAAGCATTAACCACTCTGACAGGATTAATTTCCTTGCATTGTAGATGCTACCTTTAATTTTGTAGCCTAATTTCTGATGTATCTTTATTTTATCTGATATCACGATACAGTCATCCAAGATATAGATTATAACCAAATGACGTTCTCTGTTTATATAGTCAACAATTACTTGATCCAGGAGGGGCCTGCATTCCTTGAGATACGCATTAAACATCTGATGAAGACAGACCGTAAGCTTGATGCAACACTGCTAGCGAAATGTTGTGCAGAAAATTCAGAAATTAACAGCAAAGGTGCTTTTCGACAAATCTACCTCACTTGTCTCTGTGCTATGGGACCCAATGAGGAGGCAGCAAAAGAGGTAAATAAACCTTCATGTTACCAATACCGTATCTTAATGGGTTAAAATTGATGCCCAGTGTTATGGTTGCCAAGGCTTGAGGGAATCTATCAAGCTCTGGTGGCAATTTTGAGAGAACCTCTGAGACTGACCTCTAGCTCAAGTACAGAGTTCTAAGAAAGGCAAAAGCAACTTGAGGTTTTTGGATTTGAAAGATGTCCTGATATAGATATATCAAACAAAAGTGTATAGAAAAGCCAAGTCTGGAGCTTGACTTGATTGTGAATCATAAACGGGGGGAAGAAAAAGAAACATGCAAATTCATGAAACTTTAAGGCAGACGTCAAAAGATTTGCAAAGGCAATAAGCGCATAAAGTAAACGTCACGTTGAATGTTGGGAGGTTAAGAAGGTGGAATAATTTTTAGGATCTCTGTTATTATCTTGGATCGAAGGGTCATTCTGGAACATTGCTTAAATGACCTTCATCTGTATCTATCTTGTGATCTTAATGTTTAGATTAAATACATTACTACATATGGAGAATATGCACTAAGAGCTTCCAGGAATAATGTCATTTTCAGAAAATTCCTATTTCAATGCCTATTTCAGTTATGTACCACATTTTGAAATGAGCTTGGAGTTGTATATCTAAATTAAATTGCAATGATTATCCTGTCTAATGTCTGAAACATTCGGCTTCTGGTAGATTGCCCGTGTTGATTGCAAGGAAGTACTGGATATTATTTGTAATTTGGAGTCTGATGGCCAGGATAGTGCTGCTTTTGTCCTGTGTACAACATTCCTTACACATCAGCTACAGCAGGAAAGTGTCTATTGCTCTTGGTAAGTTTTAGGTATTTTAATACTTGTTCAGTATCAGATTTGACCATGTCTTTATGTTCACACTTATTGAGCACAATTATTGTTTGGATTTTAGCATGGTGTAATAACTCACCTAGTTAGACAGTACCTAGTGAGTGGAGTGATTGTTTTTCCCTTTTGTATTTCTGCAATTTGGAGTGGTTGGTGGATTGCAAGTGTATTTGTAAATTGATTAAATTAAGTACTTGTGTTTAATCTCTGCTTTGAAACTGTTACCATAGTTTATTGCCACCCTGACTGTCTGCTCTTGTGCGAGTATAAACTCACTGGGATTTTGTTCTATGGCTGCTATCTGATTCTTTATCAACTTGACATAAGGTGCATTGAGGCAAAATTGAAACAGGCTAGGTGGAGTATTCACAATGTATAGCATCACAACTGAGTCCGATCAGATCCTCACTAATGTCTGCTGTCCAGAGACTGAAGCAGAAACTTGAGTTGACCTTTTACCCTCCTTTAACCCAGGGAGTCTGAAGCCAAATGTAATGATTCTTGCTGCAATATTTATGAATAGGTATCTCCGTTCAAGCAAGTATGGTGTAATCTGCTTGTTTAACTTCTCACTGGTATTGACTGAAATCATGAAGAAAGTTTTCACGGCTTTGTTACAGTTCAACATCTCATGTTTTCAGTTATATTTTGGTGCCTATCCAAAATAGATCAAAATTGGTAACAGTTAAATAAATGCCCTCTATATTCGTATGTAAGTTTAATTCTTTACACAGTGTTGTTGAGGAAACCACATGAGCATACTGTTTTGACTGCATGTAATGATCATGTGAGAATGGAATCTAGTTATACTGCCACCTTTTAAAGCCAGAAATGGCATAACATTTGAAAACGTACTTGAAGAGGAAATAATTGTTTTCAATCCTTTTCCGTAAAGGGAACTTACACTGTTTTGGAGCAAGTTGCAGCGAAGAATGGATCCCTCCTTGGAGTCCTTTCTGGAACGCTGCCGGCAGCTTGGTATCATTGCAAGAACAGTGTACCACATATTCTTCCTTATAAAAGTTATCCAATCTGAAGTAAGTAACCAGTTGATTTCTTGAAATTGAAAAGCTGTTTGTTTAGTAATTGGGTTTTTTCTGTCATGCCTTACTTAACTGTTGTCTTGAAATTCACTCACTTTATAGTCCCTGTTACTTGAGTTACTTGATTTAAAAAAAGGCAAGCTGTTAAATATTTATATCAGTTCTTTTGTGATAGTTCTTTAGCCAGTGTTGCCACCTTTTTTTGATTTTATAAATCTGAAATTGGGTATGGATTTGTTGATCTGCCTTGAGCCAAGATGCTACAAATATTGTTTATGCCAGTGCATCTTAAATTGGATGTTAGAGCACAGAGCCTGTTCAGTAATCAGTCACCCTAATAAAAAATCGAGATGTGTACTGTTAGCTGGCTACCATATTGTGGAACTTAATTGAAGCTAGAGGGTCTTCAACTAGCTGAAGAAGTTGCAGAGATACTCTGAAGTCAACTGTTGAGTGACACTGGCTAAAATGGTTACTTTTAACCCATTTCAGAACGCATCGAATGCAAAAAGAAAAATTCCCATAACTTTTTCTGTCAGTATAGTTTTTCTTTGTGGAAAATATTTTAAGTTTCCTCATTTCAAAAGTTCTGCCCCTTTCCATTTCACCATGGTGCTTCTGTTCCTACCCATGCCCCTCCTCTCTTACCTACACTATCTCGCCTCTCTCTGTGACTCCCTACAAAACAAAACTCAATGTATATGATTTGGATGTTTTCCTCTCAAACACTGTTTCCCAAGTTGATTGGGTAATTTCCAATGCTGAGTTTTCGGAGTATGCAATAATAGTGTACCAAAATATTGAATAGTCCCTAACATTGGGATTTTGTTTTATTTTTAAAATGGTACTTAAAAAATCCCTAGCCTACAGGATAGCAAGGTGTAGAGCTGGATGAACACAGCAAGCCGAGCAGGAAGGCTGACGTTTCGGGCCTAGACCCTTCTTCAGAATATT